TCAGCCTCAGGGGAAGACAATGGCAAACCTCCTTTGAACAAATCTTGCTAAGAAAGCCTCATCACAGGGTCTCCATAAATCAGAAACAACTTGAAGGCACACAACAACAACAACAACAGATCTTCATGTGAAGAAAGGTGTTTCCCTCTGTGTGATGACCCATGTCACTTCTTTTGCTTATGCCTCTGGTAAACTGATTCATAAGATGGCTTTAAGCCATTTCAATTCAAGCAGTCTGAAAGGAAAATTGTCAAGCACCTGGGCCTGTGTGACAGGATTGTGTCTGTATGGAAGAAGTGGAGTGGGTGGTTGAGTAGGCTGGGCTTTCTTTGTATGTAATGTAACTTCATTTTACAAAAATCCTATTTTCTAATTCAAGTGTTAGCCCAGCCTCAGTATCATAGAAAATTTAGGGTTAGTTCAACAGCATTGTGGAAAGCTGATGTTTTGCCACATGGCTATAAGCCGCAGTGAGCGCTGGACAAACTGGACATTCACTTTAGCATTTGGAAAAAAAACAAATGATATATTTTATGTCTTGAACACATGTGTACAAAACAAGTACACATACAACCAGCAGTACTTGACTTTTTTTACTCCTAATGCCCCTTGCCTGCCCACCTCCAGCCCAGAATCAAAAAGAAAAACTATCCCACTGCTTCCAGTCTTGGTTTTACATGGGCTTTGACATGGCACAGTTTTGAAGAACATCATGGACTAGTATGGCAGGTTGCTTTGAGATTTGAGGAAAAAACTTAGCATAAGGAACATTTGATATAATTGGATATTGGCATATACTGTATAAGAATCATTCTCTGGTGAGACCAATGGTTTAATACTGATTCATGTATTTCAATATTTGTATTTTTAACCATTTTGCTACAAAATGGACAAAGTTAGCCTAGAGAACTTTTTAAAAAGCCTTGATCTTAGCATGCTTTCTGCAGATTCCTGCATACTTCTGTATTTCCCTCTAGGGATAGTATCCAGAATCACTCCCTACAGCACTGAAAATCTTCATCTAAATGAACTCATAAACTTCTGCATCTCCTCTGTCTCAGTTTTCCCCCTTGGGTTGTTTTGACTGCACATCATAAACTTTCTGTCGCTCCAAAATATGGTATTGGAGGGGGACTGACACTAGATTCAGATTACCGTAGATGTCAGCTCTAAGGAGTCTAATCTTGAAATTTTGAAAAGGGCTTGGTGTATTAATTAAAGCCGATTAAGTACAGAAGTAATTATAATTAGAATAGATAGGAAGGCTATGCTTCTAATTTTGTATATAATCTCATTGAAGATATTTAAAGACAGAGACTCCCTTCCAAAAAAAGAATGATGGAAGGGGATTCTTCTTTAATAGTCTGAGTGAACAGTCTCAGATTGTAATCTCAGTAAACAGTGTAAAAATAGAAAAGGTCATTTTATGATTTGTTTTCATTTAAAAAATAATAATTTGAATGCAGTGGTCCTTAAAGAATGAAGACCATCTGTTTGTTCTGGACATGATGGGATTAAAATGGAGAATAATAGCCCTTTTGCTTGCAAATTGCATCTTTGATTTACCTGTTATAGTGAAGGTATGCTTCTGGAAATGAGTAGGTATAAATCACTGTGGTCCAGTAGATCAGTGCTTTTTAAGCTATTTGATAGAGATTGGCAGGTTCCTTCCCCCACACCAGTTGTTCCAGGGTTTGGCATCATATTTGTGCCCATTGGCTACAACAGTTTTGTTCTTTCCAGGAAAATTGCTGTGAATGGTTCACGGACACAGACATTGACATTTAGTAGTGCTGCAGTACATAAAAGCATAGGTACACGGTCCAGAAGAAATCAGGTATCAGCACTCAAGATGCCATGGATATCACAGCCTTGCTACCTGGAATTGACAGTTTTTAGCCCCATGCATTTGGAAGTGCATTGCACTTACTTTCTGGACCAGAGAAGGAACTCTGCATGTGCTTAGAGACAGACTGATATTT